ACAGAATGATGATGATTGTAGTCATTTGCTTGCAAGACTGGGAAAAGTCATAACTGTATAATGTCACCAGAACTACTGAACAGATTGCGACAAAATCTGGTATTCCGGGTCTGTACCAAACGTTTATGAGTTAACAGAATGAGAGATCTGCTTCTTGCCAGCGCATCCACACCTCTTGTTCACCCAGTGGGAGCCTGAGTAATGCAGCCAGATCGTGAAGCTGTTTACCGTCACCGATGTTACTGTTCCAGCATACATGTTTCATGGCGTCATAACTCTGAACAGATTTTGGGTGCTTTTTTTTTCATGAAATTTTGCCTGAATTTGAAATTAAACTGATCGATTTTTCAAACAGTGGCTTACTTTACAGAAAGAGTGGCGTGTGACAAAATAATAGGATTTATAGCCTTTTATTTCATGTCGATGTCGTGCAATGTGCGAAGGAACATTAAAATTTAAAGGCAATTATAATACAATCAAAACTGATTGCAGCCACACTGTTGTTTTGCGCGGATGTGAAACTTGGTCCTTCACCCTAAGGGCGGCCGCACACCAACTGCGTCAAGAGAAGCATCAAGACATGAGACAAAAGACGCAGTCTTGCTTCATTCGTGATTCATCAGCACCTTGACTCATAATCTCCTTCGTTTCAACTTTGCTCCTTTCTTTGCATCATGTTGCAGACATTGTGTGTGCATGCCGGTGTGCGGCCTACCTAAGAGGCGAGCACAAATTGAGGGATTTGAGAACAAGGTGCTGAAGAGAGATGACTGACTGTGACGGAAACCGTAGAGTTATGCACAACGAAAAGCTTCCCAATTTGAACTACAGTGTTACAAAACGAAGTTGAAATTTACCTGATAGCAGCAGAGTCTGGCGATGAAGGGTAAATGCATCTGGTTCCGAACACAGACCATTTGCTGAATTTTATACATGGACCTTGGAGTTCCAAAAAAATGCTGGGAATTTCCCGAGAAGCCTAGCGATTGTTAGTTTCTGAAAGAAAAAAAAAAGAATTTGAGCTGAGTAAGTTGGTTTGTAATAATAACCCATCTTATGTCCTGTTCGCATGAAATAAACCGTCCTTGCACGCAGATTATGTGAAACTGGGTATTAAAAGCCGAAAAACACACACTACCGCCTTCCGCGACAGCCTCAGGCTACCCCGTGAAGACGTACGGGAGAGTGGAGTTGTAGCTCCACGTAAATCTTTACCCCTGCATCACATGGATTTGAACAGTCCAGCTTCACGCCCCAACCGCTATATCCCCGGGGAGAAGTACTGTGTCGATTGCCCAGCCGCTCCATATGATCTGGAGAAGAGAAACATCTTTTGATTTTTCCGGAAACGAACCCCAATTCCTCGGTCTTCCAGCCCAAGACCTTGATGGCTATACCGACTGAACTGTCTGCTTCCCGCGATGAGCAACTTAAATAAGTACTCGTTGAATCAAAATTTGTGTATGCTTATTACGGCATTCGTAGATGAGACATGTTATCAGACATAATATTTTCCCCATTATGCGTTAAATTAACGCGCATGCCGCTTAAACTGCCTAAGAATAACAAATTTTGTAGAGAGTATATTGGCAACCCTGTTTCACGGAGCCTGTTGCGAGTGTTTCACATCACTGCCACAACATGACTTCATGCTGCTATCGAGATTCCGTGAGCGTTTGTAACGAACATTACACTTCAGGGCCTTCTGAGTGTTAGCTATGGGTGTACCTCGTGATCAACAGCACATCAAGTTCACTGCCCTACACCATGCCTCAGACAGTGTCCTCAGATTAACCCCTATTGACCTAGTCAAGAGAAGAACCCCAATCTTTCGGTGAATAGTGATCTCAATCTGACCCCATTGTTGGTGGTGTGTCGGGGTGAATAGCGTCTCTGTGACCCGCTATTCATAGCGCCACTTTCTCGTTTATACTAACTAGCCTATCCGTATTCTCTTTTCTGGGCCTTCATTCCGGCTCTCCTCAGATTTGACCTCCAGTGAGGTGTGTCATTAGGATGCCCGCATGACTCACGTCACTGCGTAGACTCACAGAGAAACATCTTGACAGAAGCGAACACTGTAATCCGTTATGTAAGATTTGAGGTCTTCACGGCGGTGACTATGAAGAATGTCTTCTGGGATTTGGCGCCATGTAGATATTGCGTAAACCGACATTTCGGATGAAATTATCGCCTCCATCTTCAGGGTAGAAACATCCGCGAGTGAGGAACCAGTGTGAGCAGCTGATTCCTCGCTCGCGCATTTGTTTATGGATTTATTGCTCAAAATTCAACCAGAGGTATTGTTTCTGTTTGTCTTCCTGTGACGGGTTTAGATAAAACTTGGCAATAAAAGTTGGCACACTTTTAGTTTCGGTTCATATCTCTCCGGCTCTGAAGCCCACGCGGCCTCCTCTTCGGTGGGTAGCGTGGGTTTGTACCCCGGAGGTAAAGTGACTCGGGCGTGAAGCTAACCACTCACCACCTGGTGCCGAGGTCAAGAATCGTGAAGTTATACATCCACTCCTCGTACGTCTTCATGGCCCATTTTCAGCCATTTTCGATTCCATGAAATTTTCTCCCGTCGTCTTTTTCGGTTTTCAAAATGCATGGCTCCCACTTGCCTTTAGTTGCACGCATTTTTAGCTGAGCGGCTGTCAGACTGTGTCTACAGTAGAAAGCAGATGTACACGTATGTGTGGGGCCTTCTGAGTGGTGACACTGTGAGGTGCTGTAGGCATGTCAGCGGAAACATTCGCGGGACAGGGGTTGGATGTGGGTGTGGCATCTTGCAGGAAACCGGATGGGACACACAAGAAGCAAGTACACAAATGAACGAATCTAAATCCTTCACGACAAACAGACACCGTACTTGACAATTCGTGTCCACATCGGCGCCTGCCCGATGTACATTGTTCATGATCACAAGACCGCGGGTTGGGTTCCTGCTCAGGGCGTGGCTGTCTGTATATCTGCTTGTTATTTGCGTTGAAACATAAGGAGAACTGAAGAGAGAAGGAAACATTCAGAAAAGAAAGAAGTAAAGAATTGCGTAGGAAGGAAATGAATACTAATGAAGAAAGGAGTAACAAGATCGAGCAGTAGGAAAGTAAATCATGCGGCAGAAAGAAAGAAGGGAAAAGTAAGAAAGAAAAGTTCAAGGAAACGAAGAGAGAAAACAAGCTGAAAACTTGAGAAGGCTAAGACAAAACGAGAAAAGCGAAAACAGAAGCAAGAGTTCAGTGCTTGAGCAACTGTCACAATCTTAGGTTATGTAGAAATGTATTCCGGAATATCGCGGTAAATAATCTCATAAATCAATTTGTGTGTGGAACCGTGCTGTAACCTACTCTAATTCTCACAGCGCTCGAAGAGTAAGACATTCCTGCCGCATTAATAACGCGAGTGTAAAGAGGAGTTCAAGCGGCATCGCCGTGCAGTAGCGGCAACTTCTTCGACGCTATTATAGTGCGGGCTGGTATAAATGGTAGGCGCAATAAGTATTTGATTTAAAGACAACATACATATACATGACGAGCGTGTCCTGAATAGTTTAGGAAAACTCGTGTTAATGTTCCCATTATACAGATAGGGTATTGTGATTTAGAAATGAATAGATATACATTTAATTGCTCCGGACATATTACAGCTGACGCACTTTCCGTTACTTTCAAATTGTGAGATAGGGTAAAAAGGTAAAGTTGTCCTGTTCGTAACCAGTTAAGCACTACGCCCTAAAGGCGTATGGGGGAGTGGATGTATAGATCCACATTTTCTTGCCCTCTGCACTAGATGGAGGTGAGTGGTCAGCTTCACGCCCTTGCTGATTTACTTCCGGGGGAAGAGCCCCAGGTACCTATTGGATACGAGGTTGGGTGAACCCCAGAGCCGATGTGGAAGATTGGGAGAAGAGAAAATTCTTGACCACACTGGGACTCGAGCTCCGACCCCTCAGTCGTCCAGCCCGTAGCCAGTCGCTATACCGACTACGTTACCACGGCTCCAAATTTTGGAATGTACTCTTAAAAAAACTACAGTCTCGTTGGTTTTAATTTTCAACGTAAAACTGAGTGAATCACAATTCCTTTGGCCGGGCCCGACTCTGTGTGTTCATGTTGGCCGTGTTAAATTTAAGCTTAATGTCCGCACGGAAATCAGTCTGCCACCGTGCTCTAGCCCCACGTTTTGCGGCATAATCACCTGATGTTTTATTCATTTCCCACTATGACTTTAAGGATGAAAATTCTATAATTCATATTAAAAATCCTGGTTCCTACCTCCAGTGGTACGGACGGTATCTCCCTTAGAAAGTGCATTGTGTTTGCGGTTTTGCAGCAGAGCAGAAAGGGAAATTTTCGAGTAAAATCGTAAATCAAATGATACCCGTACGTTTATTTCGTTCGTCGAATAGTTATGCCTGAGTGACTGATAGGTTAGTTAGTTGATGATTTAGGTAGATGAATGATAACTTTGTTAATAAGGAACTTGGTTATTTAATTCGTTATTTATCTGCTTAAATAGTTAGTCGCTGTTTATTCTGAAGCACGCTGTGATTCAAACTTTCGAGTTATTGATCCTTACCTCAGTTGGTATAAACTGTTAAAACTGTACTTTAAATAAACAAAATATTAGATTGTACATGGTTCTGACGATATTGTATAACACCAAGAATTACTGGACTTTTGAACTTTGTCCATCATCCGGTATTCTAAAAAATTAGAGAACACGACGTTTCGGAAACTGGGTCTGTTTCCGTCCTCAGGAGAAGGGGAGACATTTACTCTGTGGGGTCCCATAGAAAGAGCTAACCTCAGAGTCCTGAGGACGAAAAGAGATCCTTTTTCCGAAACGTGTTCTCTAGTTTTTTTTAGAATACCGGACGATGGACGAAGTCCAGAATGCCAGTAAATCTGAGACAAAAGACTGGTGTAGCATTTCCTTGATAATGTACATTAACTTTCTGCAGCTGGCGAGATATACATGTTACGCCGTGCTTGCAGGAAGGGGAGTTGGATGTGGAAGAAGGGCGCGACCTCTTGCAGGAGCCTCCCTGCAGTGCGACGAATGTCACCCCGGCTGATACGGGAGTGGGCAAGGATCAGACGCCCCCAAGCAAGGGTCACAGGCTCCCTTCACTGAAGCTGGCGAACCCCTTTTCGAAAAAGAAGGTAAGCAGTAACAGCTGATCTTTTTCAGCCATTTCGAAAGTGATGTTCTGTTTCATAGTTAATCATACTGGCGTTTTCAGCGTCATCTCCATTAGGCGGTTACTGGGCAACGGGTTTACTAGGAGACACCTTTCAGCAAGAGAGACAAAGCTTCCCACTTGTCATTAGGGCACAATGTGTGTTAACGTTATTAGTTGTATTCAGTTTATAAGGTTCCTCGTACTTGAGCATAACTTTACCTATGTTTAGGACGTCGTTTCAGAAAATATTAAATAATTATGTGCCTGTTGCCGGTCACGGCAGCCGAGCGGTCTAAGGCATGTACTGTCTTCGCTAGCTCGGAAGCCGGGATCGTGGCTTCGAATCCCTCACAAGACATAGATGTTTTGTGTGTGTTTATGTTGTCCTGTGTTTAGGTAGAGGCCTTGCAACGGGCTGATCACCCGTCCAAGGAGTCCTGCAGTGTGTAAAATGATCAATGAATCTGAGAAATGAACCTTCTGCTCCAAACTACGAGTGAAAGAGTGTACACATCCGGATAGAATTCGCGCTGAAAAAGTGAGGAGTTAATTATGAAAAGTAGCCCCTTACATACAAAAGTGAATGGAACTTGCGCCTGGAAATGATGTTCTCAGACTTCCCAGAGAAAAGCATTTGGGACGTCAGAGAGAGACAGAGGCTTGCAGTATTTGAGGGTTTCGGTATTCTCTGTCGAGCTCACAGCAGTAACTTATCTCTAATTATATTGCAAGTTTCCCGAGGCTTCTCGGCAGCCAGCCCCCTCAAATTGCGCCCCTCTGTTGCGCCAACCACATCTCTCTAAGTTTAGCCCCTTCTTCTTGCCGTGTGGTCTGGTAGATTGTTGCGAGTGTTTCAGAGAACCAGACGCATCCATCTGCCCCGAAAGACGGATGCAGCAGGTTCCTTCGAAACGTTCGTGACCGTGTACAAGACTACGTGACGTCACATCCTGGCACCGATCTCTTCCAACCCGTTCGTCTTGGTCACAATGGTGCTATCCCTACTACAGCCCTCGTGGCTGCAGCCACCTGCTCACGCTGGTTCCACGCTCACGGATTTTTATACCATGAAGATTGAAGCGATACGTTCCTCCGAAACGTTTTACACAACATCTACATGGCGCCGCATCCCAGAAAAGGACATTCTTCAACATATTCTTCGCTCGTAAGTGACCTACGAATCGAGGAAGGAGAAGGGATTCATACTCGAAAATTCTCTGCTACAGAAAAAAGAAATAGAGCAGTTTCACAATTCTCGAAGTCCAAAACAAGTAATATTTTCCCCGATATTAGGGCGTCAGTTTCCGAATGAAATAATGCAAACATCCGCAGCTGCTTCAGTTGGCGGAAAACGCGTACACAATTCTGTGGGGGATATAGGCTTTAACGGGTGTTCTCTTGAAGTTGGTTTGTCGTCTTCACCAACAGCATTCAAATTTTGGACTTTCTCTCAGATAATTATTTTCCTCCATGCTGGGTTTTGTTTTAGGAGCCGCATGGCAACTGAAATATCTGTTGTTGAAAGGCCACGAGTATTTCACTTTATATGGTCATATGAATCGGAAGGACCTGGTTCTTCTTAAACATAATACAGTCGTACCAAAAGGGCGAACGTTATAATGCAACATATATCGTGAGTATGGAAAGAGTTAAATTTGGCATAAGGAGGCCTTCTGATTCCCTCTGTGGCCTAGTGGTCAGAGTTCCTGGCTACAGATCCAGAGGTCCGTGTTCGATTCCCGGCACTGCTAGGTTTTCTGAGAAGTAAAGGGTCTGGAACGGGGTCCACTCGGCCGCATGATGATAATTGAGGAGCTACTTGAATTGAAAAGTAGCGGCTCCGGTCTAGAAAACCGAGATCAACGGCCGTGGGGATTCGTTGCGTTGACCACCGACGCCCTCTATCCGCAAAAGTTGGCACTAACTTTGCCGACAAGCGGCGGTCGGTCGGTCGGTCGGTATAGTTCACTTGCGGACTAAAACCACGGCATTTGTCTTTTTGTTTGTACAGGAGACCTGTTGGCGGAATATTTCGGCCGATTTTGAGCAACTGAGCAAAAACTATATTTCTCCAAAGAAATGTGTGAATGAATTTCGGTTCCACTGTTCATACCTTAGCATTGTATCAGTGTTACGATTGAAACACGAAGCCCACATATTTGTCGTAATAAATGACAAGTGACCAATCAGCAGATGACACTTGTACCACGTGGTGAGCTCGTTAGTCAAGTTTTGCTGTCGCTACTGCACGCCCCCTTTCGCGAGTTAGTGCGAGAAGCCAAGTTGCACCGTTGCATTTGGCGATGGACTTCAGAGAGGGGGGGGGGTCTGATTGGAATAGTGAAGGTAGCTGTCGAGTTCTTAGAGTTTTTCATTCAGATTCAAATCACGGCATTTCCACCCGCTCTCATGCTATTTTTCAAAGTTATTTTTCTTCTCCGACAGGCAGATACTGAGGCTGTCGAGGTCGTATTATTTCACGTTCTTTCGAATTCATACCGTTCATCGTTACATAAGACGCAGCTTAAGGGCGTCGTTATGTCAATAGGACTCAGTTCATGTAACTGCAATGCTACTAATTTCACAGAGCCGAGTCCTCCTTGAGAAGTCACCAGTGCTCTCCTTCCCCTGGCTCTCTCACCAAAACTCTACACACGCCAGTAGAGAGTGTAATAAAAGTAAAGCTATCCCTGTAACAGGCCGCGGAGGCCCAGAGGGTTGTGAGATGTTGAGGTTCCCACATTTTCTAGACAATCGGCTCATAGATGGCGGCAAGGTTGTCAGCCTTACGCGCCGGCCGCCCTTTACCCCCAAGAATATTCCTGGTACTCATTTCTGTTAGAGGCTGAGTCGACCCCAGGGCCATAATGCGGCCGGAAGGATTAGGTCAATTGAAAAAATCCACCTCATCGGGATTCCATCCCGCGACCTTCCGATTTGTAGCATAGTGCCTCAACCAACCACGCTACCGCGTAGAATGTAATAGTAAGTAAATATATTTTTATGCTTCATAACGCGTCTATTTTAACGACGTTCTTTGCTTTAAAATGAGTGACAGTGGACTGAATTCCAGTACTGCAGTATTGCGCCCTGTCTCGGAGACAGAAACACCGTCCTGTTGATTTATCCCGCTCGGCAGTAGAAGTGCCCACACCCCCTCCCAGTTTAAACTCATAGGAGCATTCCTCCTTATCGTGCGACACACTGATGTGTGCAGGAACAGGGCGGCGAGGTGTCGGAGGCTGGAGGTTCCAGCGCCGGAGAAGAAGAAGGCCGCAAGAAGACGGGGTTGCTGGAGGCCATCCGACTGCCCCTTGTGTCTGTGTTTCCCCGCTCCAAACTCAAGTCCACTAAGGTAACGTTCCCCATTTCTGTTTGCCACAAGCACCGCGCGCTGCCGACATAACGGTGTACCAGTATGTACGGCCGAGTGATTTGTAGCCTGCTTTCCTTATTTTTAAATAAAATTAGGCTTATAAAATTACCTTGCTGTCTATGTGTTTATGTGCCTGTAAGAATATCTCCCCTGACAGCATTTGAAAGCACGAACCGACCTGTATGAAACTTGATGTGTATATCATGGCACCTAAGCCCATCTCAACAGGATACTTCATAAACCCCTCCCATCAGCATCACCAGTACTACGGCGCCACATATTGTTGCGGCAGAATCTAAATATTGCGATAACGCCTGTACATTGTTATGTCTATCATGTCACAACGGCGTGCTGTATAAATTCCTCACATCAGTAATATCAACATTGCAGCCTCTAAAATTGTTCAGGTATTAACCGTAATATTACTTAAATGCCTGAACGGATCATTATGAAACTTGGTATGTATATCATGCCGCCAGAGGCCGTTTAGACGGCGTGCTTCATAAATTCGTTCTACCACTAATAGTAGCACTGCAATTTCTCAAGCTGTGTTTTATTAGCCTGCATTATTGTCGCGTGTATTAGTGACTTTAGACGCTGGTTTGGCTCTGCAAGTCTTCACCAGGCGGAACTACAACTAATTAGAACGCATTCAGTCTAACTGCAGCTAGGATAACATTTCGTAACTACGAACACTACGAACACTCGAAAGGTTACTGTGACTACACCACGTAAACTAAAGACTTCACTTCTGACTTCTTCTGATGTTTTCGCCTGACTTCCGTGTCTGCTGCTTCTGTTCTCTGCCGACTTCTGGTTTAACTCTTAGGTGGCCGTGATAGTAGACGCCGCCTCGAAGGGTTCTGTTCTGCTCTTTCAGATGGCGTCATGTCGGAAACCATTGTAATTACCGTGGTTACCGCATCTGCAGCCACGTATTTGTACACAGCGTACTCTTGAAACGTATGTAGCCAATCGTTACCTAGCAATGGCTGACTTCACTGTGGGAACAATGTTTATCTATCCGTTGACTGACAGTGGACGTTTGCTTCGACTTCGGCATTCTGGCTTTTAGGCGGCACGTCACATTGCTCCCTCCTTAAGGCTTGACGGTGTACCACCGTTCTTTCTTTTGCGAGGATTCCTGTTCGTGGCGTCTTTTCGTGGCTTCGTCTCTCCTCCTGTGTATGGGTGTGTGTATTTTGTTCCGCGGTGACCACTCTCCAACCGTTACCCTTGCTCCCTCCTTAAGTGCGCTTGTCTTGAGCAGCACCATGCTACTTCACTGTCAATTCAGGATCTCTCTCTCTCTCTCTCTCTCTCTATATATATATATATATATGTCTGTGTTCAGTAAAGCGTGCCGTTGGGCCTTACTGTTGGTCTGTTAATTCCAGTTCACATCTTCGCTGTACTGTGACCCTCATAAGCCCATATATGCCTCTGTTTAAAAAAAGGTTCATACTTCCCCTGGGATTGTTCAGCCAAGAATTTATATACAGCGTTTCCTCCATAATCAAATTTATGAAGCCAAATGCTTGAGAAGCTGATAGACCCTTAACGGGTCAAGACATTTCTCACTTTTTTGGAACTTGGTGTGTCACCATGTTCAAAAACATAAGTTGTTTTTACTATTCTGAGCCAGCTGAATCCAGCCCAAATACAGCAAATGTAGATATTCCACATCTCTTCTTTACTCGTATTTCATTATGAGTCATGATTGCTCAGTCAGTAAATGTCAGGGATCCTGCTTTTCTCTGTCACTAACATACTTTTTCTGTGTTTTCTTGGCCTCATTTCGTGTGTTACATATACGCTGTTGCAGTGAATCAAGCCACGATGGTATAACTATTATCAGCAGCCCTACATATCTGGTCTAGGAAATGGCATTACTAACTTATTTGTTTTCCATAAACAGTGCCAGTATTGAAATACACGGGTTTCGCTCTTATCTAAGAAAAACCAAGTATATATATGTTATATTATAGATTCGGTTCCCACCTGGAAGAAAACAATGCATATCCAATACAAAGATCAGTCGGCTAATATAGGTTTGGAAAATAATCTGACAACAAAACGAAATTCATATATATGCTCTGTGGGTGACATATATTGCCATATTGTCAATGTGGTCTGTGTGTATAGTTAGAATTGTGTTCTAAAAATTCATGGAACAAGTTTCCTGATGTGTGCTGCTGCAGGACCCAGAGATTGGCCAGCAGGCTGGATTGGCCTCTATGGAAACTCTGGACGACAGCCTCGGTGAGAAGACAGAGAAACTGACCAATGGAGAAGACGGTATGGAGAGCGTCAAATTGGACACTGAGGTACAGAATGTGATGCTTCATTTTTCTCAGGCCCTAGCAGTCAGGAATAACGGAATTTAAAGAATGCTTTTTCTGAATTGTATAGGCCTAAGCACAGAGGTGTCAGTCTTTTTCTGGGTTGCCTTCCTCTTCTTTCCTTATGTCTTCCTTCTTTGTGTTCTTATCTTCTTGTCCTCCGTTTCCTTTGTATTCACATTGTTCTTGCTCTGTTTCATCACCTTTCTCTTTTCCTTTTTTTGTGTTCCACGTTCTCCCCTTCCTTGTTCTCTTGGTTATTCTTGCCCAGTTTATTCTTCTGTTTAAGCAACTCATTCTTCATCTTTATCTTCACACCATCACCCTTTTGTCTCAAGCTAATAACACTGATGGAGACTTGCAAAGTTTCCAGTCACCTTAGTGCTGTGACTTCACGAGAAGTAAATACTGATCCTACCTTTGCAATGGAGAGTTCAGGGTTTGGGACAGAAAATGTTCAATCCAAAATGTTCCAGATACAACTTGTAGACACTAATAAATTAAATATTTTGTGTACACTATCTTTGTGCCATGTACTGATGTCTGTTTCTTCCATCACTTTTAAACACTTTATTACATTCCAACTATTTGTATGTTCTGCATATACGTAATTCGTGGGCAGTAGATAAATTTGCTGCAGGAGCTGATACAAGTAGGTCTTGTAGAAGCCAGGAGGGGGCAGTTTTTATAACAGGCTGGTTGGGGTATTTGGATCTAACTGAAGAACACTCTCACCAGAGAATATCCCTCTGTGCTTCAAAAAGAAAAATAGTTGTATGAACTTATCAGTCATACTAAATGAACAAAGTACATACATACAAAATTAACATAACTGAAGCATGGAATTTATCTAAATAATATTTGAAGTTCAGTGTCTGTCTCAAAAAAAGAAAACACTCTGTTACCATTGCAAATGCCAGTGAATTAATGTTTTTTCAAGAAAATAATCACAATTTTTTCTAAGAGTCATACAACTTGTAATCACACTGTGACTAAAATTCAAATTTTCTAAATATTAGAGCAAGTGGTACATATAAGAACCACTGCACTCTAAAGTATTAATTGTGTCTTCACATGTTTAACTTGTGTCTTCAATATGAAACATACACACTGAACCTAATATGAAATTGGTTGCAATTTACTCCCTAATACCCAGATTAAATATGATAATGAGGTGTGGCAGGGAGACAGATAATTAAATTTCAGTCAAAAACTGTTCCACTTTGTTAACATGTGTCCAGGTAAAAATTATATTGGAGAGTTTATATAGAAATTGCTCTTGATTAAAACTCTGTCCACCTTTGTCTATCTGGAATGGTACAAAAAGTATGTTTCCCTCCAGATCAGTTTCAGTGGCAAGACTTGTCTACGGGGCAGGAAGTGTGCTGAAATAACAGGTAACGAACCCATATCAAGTTCATATGACTCCAGGAGTCTCACTGCTAATGTACTGAACCGTAAGAAGAAAGGGAATGACAGTCAAACTGAGCTGTTGTGTGTTGCAGGAGAAGGTGGACCCTGATAAGAAGGAAGACACTGAAGGGAAACCAGACTGGAGGGAACGGATCCGTTCATTGTCCAGGCTGCAACTGATTGTCGGTTAGTTCATCTGTTAAACATGGCATACAAAGTACTTTCAGACTGATCTTTGATAAAGGAAACAGTTGCTGTAGATGGATAACAGTAATGTATGGAAAGAACATTGTCCAATCAAACCTAAGAAACCTCTTAAAAGTAAGGTATTTAAGAACTGGTTTTTTCCTTAATACAGGAAATATGAAGGAGATATAAATGCTACATTTATCAATTTTGGGGTATTGTTGCAGCAAATATAAATATTAAAAGTAGCAAAGTAAGACAGACCTATATTTTGCCTATTTGTTTCTTTGGCTAGTTTACTACCCTTCTTCATTTTCATAGTTTCTTATAATGCAGATAGACAAGAAGAATGCAAGTGACAAATTTGTAAGGCTGTTGAAGGAATCAGTCTTGGCATATTTTGAAATGCCCTTTCACCTATTTTTCTGGTTTGGCTGTGGAAAGCCACTAGGAATTTCTGTCACAATAACTGATATCTGGAGCCAGATTAGAATTTGGGCCCCCTCAAGTTTAGAGGAGTGCCAGTCACCATGCAGTATTGCATAGGTAACTAAAATTAGATAAGTTTGACCTGCATAACTTTAAATTCAGTGAAAGCTATGGTTATGATGAGTACCTCATGTAAAGTGTTCATATCTATATACAGGAGCAACAGGAATTGTGCATTAACAATTTTGTAACTTAGTGGCCTATTTAAACAATAATTTCCATGACATACATTCTCACCCCTATCAGACCTACTCAAAATTGTGCAACATCATATTTCTACATTCTTGGATAGTAAAAATAATTTATGAACAATTTAGAGTGATGAAGAGGTTTCTTCTGGGATAAAACACAGTTGAAAGTCAACTGATGTTATAGAGAAACATGTTGCTGCTTCTCTTGATATCTGCCCAATGTTTGCCTTTTGCTTGGCCTACTTTTCAGCTCTGTAGATGGTGGCAATATATTCCACAAAAACATTGGTTGACTTTCAACAGACTACATGGCGTTATCCTGCATGATAGAACTCTTCATAATGAATGCTTGGCAAGTGGGCAAGAGTTCAGAAGGTGGCAGTTATCGACCTGACATTTACCTGGAGAGACTGTAAGTCTCATTCAGGATACTTGGTAACACAACAGAGGTCTATTGCAGGTACCGCCAGAACAAACGTATAGAACATTATTGTGACACCATGATTTGGAATGGAAGCTGAAGAAACTGTTGTAACCTGTTTCCCTGAAGGGACTAATGATACCTAACTCCAGTCAGATAACTGTCCTCCAGGCCAAGTTTTGAATGCTAAAACCCTCAAATATGCAAGAAGTATGTTCAGTATCTTCGGTTACATTTATTTACATTTCTGAGGCTATTTAAAGATGTGCCTTGCCAGCTGCAGGCTTCTATAGTGTCAAATTAAATGAGTGGGTGAATATGTATCATCAGTTGGAAAGGAATGGAGAAGTAGTAGTCATGGGTCTGTTTCAAGGAACTGTCCCAACTTTTGCTTGGAGAGATAAAGGAAAATATCAGGGTAGTCAGTGCCATGACTCATATTTTAACCACACATTTCCAGAACACAAGTCAGGTATGTAGCTGTTTCTTTAATTCTGTGTTTCAATGTTACAGGTGGCAGTGTGATATTTCTGCTTCTATTAATTATCATCACCGTCATCCCATTTGGTACACATAATGAAATAGCCCCTTCACCTATTTTGGATGAGAGCTTCAGGATTGCCTTGACATCTTGTGGACCTGTTGAAGGGTGAGTATCATATGACATTAAAACTCCTTACTCATATACATTTGTTTGTTACAATATTAGTTTAATTAACTCAGTAGAATACTTAGAGATGGAAATTCTTCTGAAGGGGTTTGTTAATCTTAGGCTTGTAAGTTAGAATAATTTACTTCTTAGGAAAGTCTTGTTGTATGCCTATAAATGTCAGGCATTATTTTCAGATTGTTGCGTTCATACATCACCAGCATGCATCTTCGCAGTGATGTTTTTCAGTTGTGTAATTATTTATTAATCAACCACAGAGTCATTGTTATGCCCTGGATGAATTATATACGTAATAGATAGGACTGTTCATGTTCTAGTTTTAAGACGTTATCACATCACTTGGATGAAGAATCTAAGAATGACAAAACCATCAGTCGGAATAGTCAGTTTTCAGGATAAATTTGAATCTGGAAATTTCCAAATATGAAGCAAGAATTCTAGTCACTGCACCATAATATATAGTTGTAACTCAAGTTATGTACTTTTATAACAGTAATTGAGTATTGGTACAGAACTATTTTTGTTAGAAATTTTCCACTGTACATTGTCCAAAGAAAATGTACCTGATGCTCTGGAGGCCAACTCCAGGTCAATCCTGAAAGAAAAGGAAAAGGTTATGGTTCTTTGAGTAGTAGTAGTAGTAGCAGTGGTGGTGGTAGTGGTAGTAGTAGTAGTAGTAGTAGTAGTGGTAGTGATAGTGGTAGTAGTAGTGGTAGTAGTAGTAGTAGTATATGTAAGTGGTGGGCCATAAAAAACAGGCCCTTGGACTCTGAGACATTCAGTGATCTATTGTGCTTTGGTTCTTTAGGTAAATCCAATCCTTAACAACAGACACTGAACAGAGGATAGAATATAAGAAACAAGAATATGTTTACAACTGGAACAAAGCTAATGAACACCAGAGATGCTACTTGTTTATGTAGGGACATCCTTATTTGTATATCATTAAGTATGAACATTATAATAAAACTTTAACAAGTAAACATTTTTTATTATGTATAATGAAATCTATATTTTGACATGAACAAACTTGTCTGTACAACAAGCAGTTTTTGACTATATAGAGTTCAAGTTCAGCTTAATATAAAATAAATTCCGATATAAAACGCAGTAAAATCTGCTAACTGCCTCTGTTTATAAAATGTCATAAAAGTCAGTAACATCTAAAAGTTTTTGAAGGTCGTATATTAACACCATGATAGGCCACACCATAGCTCCAGTGATTAGTCACTGGCTTCCCACTGCGGTGGCCTGGGTTCGATCCCAGGTCTGGTCAAGTGGAATCTGTGGTGGACAAAGTGGCGCTGGGACAGGTTTTCTCTGAGTACTTTGGTTTCCCCTGCCAATCTTCATTCTACCAAATTCTCCATCATAATTACCCAACGCAGGCTACAATAGGCCAATCAGTGGCCGCTGTGCTGAGTGGACCCAGTTGGACTCCACCCCCCACTAAGCGAATTAAAAAAAAAATAATATGATTGATTTTCTGAATATTATTTGGATAATGTTCAGAAAATTAGCCCGTTGTGTCATGAAAGTCACTTAAGTAGTTTCGGAGGTAAAACATACAGACACATTGACATATATTCCACACTGAGCATTCATTTCATGCACTTCATTCAAGGGAAACAAATGATTGTTATGATAAATCTTTTAATAAGAACGGAATTATAGCACTACTGGCATTCCCATGAAGATAAATCTGAACTGCAACATCAGAAATTATTTTTTATCATACTTGCCTTATTTTCAGAAATTAAATTACTATAGACTTACAATATCACCTTGCTGTTTGTGTGTCTGTCCCCCTAACATTTCAACACCTAAACCAATCAATATGAAACTCAGTATGTAAGAGTATATCACGTCATCTAAGAAAATCTCAATGGCATACTTCATAAGAACCTCCCATCAGTAATATTTCTCAGCCTCTCAAATTTTTGGGCTAATAACCTAAATATTACTTGAATGCCTGAACCAATAGCCATGAAACTTTGTATGTTTATCCTGCCACCTGAGGCCATCTTAATGGCAATCTCTGTAAGTTTATCCCTAAGTAATGCCAGTATTGCAGTTTCTCAAATTTTTTAGGTAATTACTTTAATATTTTCATGTGTATGTGGGTACATGTGACTAAGTTAACGGGTTTTAGTTTGGATGATTAGATTTATTGGCACTTTGGTTGCAATCTCACTTAATTACAATTAATACAGCACCATCACTGATTACAGAATTTATAGTTCACCGTTGCACACACACACTAGGATTCTCAGTTTCCATTAGTCGTCTCCTGGCAACGGATCTCAACACAGAAAGTAGCACTTCAAATCACTGTGAAGTCTTCTTGCCATTTCTTGTTCAATCACCATGGAACCTCGGAATTCAACTAAAAACTCCTGGACTCCTGAGTACACTGCACTGCGCTCTGCATTAATCTGCAATGATAGCACTGATATCCCACGATAATTACTGCAGTCAGTTTTATCACCCCCCTTGTGAATTAATACAGTAATAGACTCCTTCCACTGAGCAGCAAGTCTTCCTTATTCCAAATAGAATTAATTAGCTTATGGATATTAGAACGTAATATTTCACCTTCTGCATGAATTAATTCTGCTGGAATTTAATCACTACCTGGCAATTTATGGCTTTTCAACTTTGCAATAGCAATTTTAACCTCAAAGGGACAGGGATCAGGTACTAATGGCTCAGCTGTATTGTAACACATTTGATAAATGCATTGCCAGCAACACCTCTGTAAACATGTTTCAACATGCAACAATAGAAGAAGCTGTGTTTCCTCTAGATGGAACTGACACGCCAGTAGACTGGTTGGATAGCGATCACATGATAGTTTTTGTTGTAAGTCCATGTCCATTCTGCGGCTATATAAGTAAGAGTGACAGAATTCATTCAAGGCAGTAATGACTAATAGCAGTGGCAGAAACATGCGAACAAGCAAGCAGTAAGCTCGGGGAGTACAGAAGAGTACAAGAAGTCAGCCTGTGAAGATTTAACAGATGACTTGAAGATTTTATGTGTGCTATAGTACAGTGGTATTGGGAGTGTGTGATTCAGCGAGACTTTTATAGCTCCTGTGTTATGAATCCGTGAAGACTAGCGGAGACAGTCTTTCTTTAATCACGTTACTATCTCCAGTGGGTCTTTTTTTGTAACCATGATTTCTGTGATTATAGACAAAGCAGTGGCATGGATTTGGCAGAGAACAATGCTTGATGCAATTGTAATTTACGGTTCCAACTCTCAGATTTTTTCTGCATATTTCACCATCTTCTAGAAATTTAGTCATTTAGGCTTTGTACATAGTCATAAAAGGTTGTTCTGCATCACATTTCTTGCTAACAGCTACACTGGTGTTGCATATTAATCACACATTTGTTATTAATTTCGATGAAGAAATGATACTCTCCCATTTCCATTATAATTGTTTTAAAATGTTCTCCGTTTATTTTTATTACCACTGAGCTGAGAAGCCATTTATTATCCTCCCACAAAAGCTCTCAATAGTTTCATATTAGATCTTGTATCGAGTTTCAAAATCAAAAACTGCCACACATTCGCCTAGAAAGCACAGGATCAGTTGGATCTACACTGCAAAACATACAGTTGAAGAGGTGGACCCCCAATTTGAAAATTCTAAAACACTAAAAGCTTCGGCTTGTGTTGACCTTGTGTTATGTTTCACGTTGCATATGTTTTAACTTGATTATGATCTTCTGCACAATGAGACCGACAATGGAAATGTTAAAAAGAAGCTGTTACTGGTGCCCGCACTTCAACAAGTCTCTAACCAGAAAACAATACACATCTAAAATCGTCGACAAAGGTATTTTAATTCCATCAAAACACTATGGCTAACAATAAAGATTTATGATGGTGTCACTTGGGAATATGGTAGAGGTGGTAAATTCCTCTTTGAAGGTTGCCAGAAAATGGGCAGAATTGCTTCAGTGTTCAGTCACCCCATTGCCCAGGAAAGGGTTGAGGGGTGTTTTCTTATGTCATGTGTCTGCGGGCAACATAACACTGTGTTGTTCATGAGCTATGGGTTGGGCAGGTCTGCTTGTCACCTGCTTTTATGCTGGTTTCTTGCTCACCTTAATCTTAGACCCTGAATTTGGAGGTGATATGTTCCTCCAAATTGTTGGTTGACTTTCAAGGTACTACATGGCATTATATCCCACAAGACAATAGTTTTTATGAGGTGATGTTCGACAGAGCCCAGTGTTTTCTCTTGCAGCTTGGTGGAGGATGGTGCATTTGCCTTTAGAGGAATCCCCTACGCAGTTTCCCCAACCAAGGAGAGACGATGGAAGTCTGCCGAACCTCTAGATGACCTGGAGAGATGCTGGATTGCCACCCTTCCTGTTCAAAATGCTACCCCAGTCTGCTGGCAGATCTACCCCATGGGCAAAATGGACGGTGATGAGGACTGCCTCACCCTTGACATCTTCACGCCTCAAGTTCCCTATCTCAATCCTATACCTGTTGTAGTTCTTATCGGTGCAGAGTCCCTGAGTGGAGGGTCGCCTGGAGCTCTTCGTGTGAATGCCAGTCTGGCGAAAGCACACAATGTGGTATTCGTGCGTCCCAACTTTAGATTAGGGGTCCTGGGGTTCCTTGCTGCAGAAGATATGAAGAAAGATACTTATCCACTGACATCAGGGAACTATGGACTCTCAGACATTGTCATGGCACTGGAGTGGATCCAGCTGAATATTGAACACTTCGGTGGTGATTCAAAATTAGTGACGCTCCTCGGACACAGAGCAGGTGGAACTCTGGTCACTGCACTCACCGCCTCAAGGTAAGAGTACCAAATATTTCTTCATGATAAACAATGTATACAGTCACCCTGCAGAGTACTCATGGTCTCATATCTCCAATTCACCATGAATTAAATTTAAGACACTACAGTTACTTGTGCCTGTGTTGCCACTCTATGAAATTGATAATGTTCAGCTCAACTGACAGATAGTTTAATAGCACTGTACATAAAGAGACTACTGAAATTACCTACATACCATAATGCCAGTTACTTCTACAGCACCATCATGCACACCACCCATTCCCACGTACATAGCATGTCCCTTGTTTGAACACTCCCACGTTCCCATGACTCACTTCACTACATATGTAGTCTCTGTTGTGAAAGGCAAATTTTTTTCTGTTGACATGAACTTGCTGGAACTCAAGTCTAGAAAGTTATAATTTCCTCGTGTATTTGTCTTCAGATATTTATTTAATCAGATCTTACAACCACATACACTCAGTCCCTTCTCAGATCATTTACTCCATGCCTCATTGCAGTACTATTTTTAATAACACTTTCTGTCTCTATTCATGTCTCAAAAGGAGGTAATACATGTATTTACATCCAAGACAAAACACTTGATTAACTAATAGCTGCATAAGGTTTGTACAGGGTAAGTCATAAGTCCGTCCGGAACTACCGAACTTGGCAGCGCAACAGCCAAGACAGACACAGCAGAAAGAAGCATATCAGTAGATAGAGAATCTTTCCAAGTTTGTTTGGGCAGTAATGCCGTGGCATAGTTGCAGGTTGCACCATTATGGGGCAGCCGTGATGGAACTTGGCGAGGACAGGGGATAAGAAAGCATTCTATGTCTTGGAATTTGCCAAAACCGAATCAGGTGTGATGGTGCCATGGAGGTTTTGGACCAAGTATCACACAGAACTACCTACGATCAAAACAGTTCATGAGTGATACAAGAAATTCCAGCAAAGTGGCTGACTGTGCACTATGAAATGAACAGGCCAGCCAGGGCCATCGCCCAAGACTGTCAAGCTAGTGCATCCAGTATCCTTCTGCATGAAGACATTTGAGCAGAATATGCCAGAGACTTGACAGGCATCTGCAATTCTCGGCTTGTGCAATGTGTTGACATCTGAGGGCTCCTGACAAAAATTTCTCTCACACGCATAGGTGGTTCTGTGTGGTACTCGGTCTGAAACCTCCATTGCACCATCCCAGTTGACTCAGTTTTGAAAAATTCCAAGACACAGAACACTTTCTTATCCCCTGTCCTCACGAAGTTTCTTCCTGACTGCCCCCTAGCAGTGAAATCTGCAAGTATGCCATGAGGCCTGTTATCAAAACAAACTTTTAGAGACTCTACCTACTGATATGCTCCTTTCTGCTGGGTGTGTCTTGGTTGTAGCACTGCCAAGTTTGGAAATCCTGGATGGACTTATGAATTAACCTGTGTTATATCCCCAGTCCAGTGGCTTTCTTACTGCAATCATAGCCATTACAGTATACTCCTAATTTCATTGTGGCCCTAAATTTTGAGTCGTATTTCCAACGTTTCTGAGCATTAGTATATTCTAAAGTGTATGTTTGTGTGTGTCTATTATAATATCCATTTCCTCTGTGGTATAGCTTTATTATCTGCATGGATACTGAATTATTTCTATCATTCCTTCACCTCCATTCCTTCTATTGGCTGAGTTCATGCTACAGTGTATAAACGCAGACATACATCTGTAAGTCCTGAGCAAGACTGCAAATTCAGTTTCAGTGTTAGAGGACATTGTGATTGACATGTATCCTGATTAACATATCAATTCATAGAATGGCCAAGAACCTTTTTGCAAATGCCTGGGTATCGAGTGGTGCGAGCATATTTCCTGGCAAGGAGCTGATTGAATCTGAAAGAGACAACGCACAGTTTGTGGAGTCCCTGAACTGTGGGGGAGACGTGCAGTGCCTCAAAAGCAAGGACGTAGAAGAGCTTCTTGACTCTGTGCCAGAGCCCTGGAGACACCCACTGCAGGATTTGCCACAAACAGATGATGAAGGATCATCTGCTAAGCACCAGTGGCTCGTTCTGGATGGACAGTTCCTTCAGGAACATGTATCTGATGCGTGGAAGTCAAATGGACTTCATGCCAAACTCGTTATGGGTAAGAAAGTTTAATTAATCCTTCCAGCCGCACTAGGCCCTGGGGTTTACTCAGCCTCTAACAGAAATGAGTACCAAGAATTAATTAAATAATTTTCCTGGGGAGTAAAGTGCGGCCGGTGCGTAAGGCTGACAACCTTACCACCATCTTTGAGCCGATTGTCTAGATAATGTAGGTCCCTCAACGTCTCACAACCCTATGAGCCTTCACGGCCTGGTACAGGGATAGCTTTACTTTTACTTTTACTTTTATAGGGACCAAGTTAAAGAAATTTTATACAGTGTATTTACATCACAAATGATAGGTATAAGAGATGCAGAGTTATTTTACAGTGCATTATGGGGGGGGGGTCTTATAAGCAGCAAATACATTTTTCAGGGTACAGAGGACGTAAAATAAGTTTATGGCCTGCAGTACTAATTTTATATAAACATTCTACATACCTAAATACAAAGGTCAAATTCATTTTCAGTCATAGTGATCCATACAAAGCCTAATCTAAGTGAGGCCATAAACAGACTATTATAAAAAGGCTGCACATGCATTTGGAAGACTGCTAGTTATTTTGTATACTGCATTATGGAGTACGTGCTTCATAATCTTGTGTTATGTGTATATAAAACTTCCTGCTCCTGTATGCTATACTGTAATAGAGGTTCCTTGCATGCACACAGGCTCCACAGTGCATGCAGATATTCCTCCAAGGCTGCATGCACAGAACAATAACTGGACAGAAGAGGCTGTGAAGTACCATGTGATGTCCAGTGTTGTGGGCCGTAAGAATCTAACAGATGATGCGCTGAGGAGGTATGGAGCTGATTGGCCAGGGCTGGTGGCCATGATCTCAGACATCCGAACAGTTTGTCCCCTGCTGTACCTGTCACATAGTCAGCAGGGCAAGGCCATTCCCTTCTACATCGTCAACCACACGAGGGACAACCCCAGCTTTGGCCCTGAGAAACTGGCAGATGTGTCAGTGGATGTGGAGGCAATTCTGGGGCTTTATGCACCGCAAACCCCATCGCAGAGAAGGTATGATCTGAGAAATGAGACACAGCTGCACAATTAGCCAGTCACCTCTTTAATCATAAATTCTGTTTCATTTCCTAATTAACCTAAGACCACTTCACATTCTGAGACATTCAAAAAATAATTCACAAGTTCTACAAATAAGAATGTGTTTCTCTTCAGTAACCAGTTATCAGATAGATTGATGGTAAATAGTTAACCAGTTAATAGGCCACAAAATACCTGAGACATTCTGGCTTTCCACTGGTGAGCCTCAGGTTCAATCCCAAGTAAGTTAATGTGGTACAAATACGAGCATTATGTTTTTGGGCATTATCCATCGTCTTGTCTCTATATAAAAACGTCCTGTTTATTTTTCAAAACAATGTTTCAGAGACTGGATTCTGTCTCCGTCTTCAGGTAAAACCTACTCAGTTGGGCCCAATAGATAGAGCTAGTCCCTATCTCCAGAGATATGTTTTTAGATAGAGACAATAATGTCCAAAAACATAATATTTGTACCAATGTACCATCGTCACTAACTTTTAGATCTTAGGTTAATGTGGATTTGTGGGGGATGATTTGGCATCAGAGAAGTTCTTCTGTTACTTTGGTTTTCCATCCTAATAATAATTCTACCATTGTTTCGTACTCATCTATCCCTCCCAACATGCTCAGCAGCCCTGAGCAGTCTCATGTCATTTGCATCATCTCTGTTTTTTGACTTGGCTGGTTAAAAAGTAAGCAAATGATGTTTAAGTTAACTATATAATTAAAATTTGTGTTTGAATGAAAGCAAAATATGTGTATACAGGGGACCCAAATATATGATATTCCATTTTTGAAAAAACTGTAATCATCTAAATAATACTTAAAAATTAAGTTCATACCTCACAGAAATATCACTGCATGGCCATAACAAAGACCAATCTGTTAATGCTACTTATGGAGATAATTACTTTTATTTTTATGATCATACTAAATATATAAATACACTTTGAGGAAAAAATGCAGACTTTCTTAAAAAATGTGGTATAATAAACACTGCACTTTAAAGGATAAATGCGACCTAGGTTGTTAAATAGATGACATTGAAATATGAATAACTTTATTGATGTTTACTAGAGAAGCACTGTTATATATTTTTAGTCATTACATTGGTACATGGAGAATCCCTTGCAGATGCAAGTATGGGTGTTTCTTGGCTTCTGAAGACGAAATACTGTGAAAACTTGTTGAGGTTGATATTGTCATTATTTTCTTGTTTTGTGTCAATTCCTGCATTCACATGAAAATGGCTTTTTGTAGCTTAACTTCTTGGAGTGTGCTTCATTACAGTTCATGAAAGCAAATTTGATCCAAAATATAAATATTCATAGTTATAATACAAATAAACAAGGGTTTTCATGCTCAATTCTGCAGAACTACATTATTTAAAAAAAGTGTGGTAAATATGGGGATAGAATTGTATAGTAAGGTGCCAAACAAAATAAAAAACTCGATGGGTTTTTCAGCTTTTAAAAAGACTTAAAATCATTTTTATTGAAACTTTTTTTTATACGATAAATGAATTTGTTAGTTTTAATAAAAAAGTGGACGGTGCAAGTACTTATGTTTGGATGTCATAGCCATTCATGAGCTGTATATAGTAGTTTGTGTATTTTTTGGAATGTTGTATTTATATACTGCTTATGATTGTAACAAATGTTGGTAGCATGTCTGTAACTTTGTAGATTTATTTTGTTAACTTGTATTAGCGAATGACGTGTCCAAGTGTTACTGTGTAGCAAAACGGATGAAATAAAATACAATACAGTACAATAATATCATAATCTAACTGGAATAGTTACCATTGCAAAGAACTAAAGCATGTGTACATTTTAGTGAAAGTGGTAAATTACTGAAGAGGAAAGAGTTCATGCTAATAGAGAACTTTCACTTGAACAGTGGAAATAGTTTTAAATAATAAAGTTTCTAAAGATATATTCCAAACACAAAAACACAATCCTATTGTTCCCCTTTGGACATCAATGTAAATGGGCAACAGTATAATTTGATGCTTTTCTTGACTTGTTTGTGTTAAACTGTTTCTTGTAGGTTTGTGGAGTCCATACAAGATCTCTTCTACCATTTTGTGCGCCATGGGGAACTGAAGAATATAGAGTCACTTGGCAGCAACCAGGCTCTAATGATCGATCAGGGTGTTATTCCCTTCAACAATTTCTCTAACTGTGACCTTTGGTTTGCTAATGACATCGTACCCCGACATGGGAGAATTGACTGAAGTGTTTGTTTGATGCAGAAAATAAAGAGAAAATGCTATATATAATGGAAGATACTGATGAAAGAACACCTACCTACTAGGGGAGGACCTCCCTACAACAGTACAAAGTTGATTGGACACCTGTGCAAAATAATAACAGAAGTCCAGGCTGTCTGGCAGATTGTCAGCTTCTCAAGTTTTGTAATGATGGATTAAGTTTTTCCTAATTATGGTGTTTATACTGAGTGTTTTACCAGTAAAGGCCACTGTAGTGTGGTATCAGTGTTCCAAACTAGTATGAAAGTTTTCAATGTACAGGGGACCTCTAACTTTTCATCATAGCACAAGAAGTGCATGAGTTGTAAGAAAAATTAATTAAGTTTGTGATAGTTCAGACATTAATGGCAGCAGAAAATATTAACATGAGATATTTGAAATGGTCATATCCAAATAGTCTTTACCTGTCTGTAGACATACCCTAGCAAAATTTATACATTAAAGTCTGATGACAGTGGTGGGCGTGTTACGGTATTATGTTATATGATCTAACATTTAGAAAAGTAATATTTAATTTACAACATGTTTGTATTCACCCATCATCACGACATTACAAAGACCAGACCTCGACATGGAATGAAGATCCTAGTTAGTGTGGCGGTGCCTCATATAGAAGCATGTCTACACCATGTCCATTGGATCATTTCTGTAGTTTGCTTCACATTTTGAAATCTTAAAGAGTTCTCATATGTAATGACAATCATAGCAAGGCAGCATGAGAACAACTTACAGCCCTGCATGACATCACAATAGGATGGTGGTTTTAGGCTTTCAGTTGATTTTAATTTGTTAGTCGTTTTTTCGCAAGACGGTTGTTTCTTTAAAAATTACAGAACTTAATTTAATAATTTTGTATAAGAACATCATTGTAATGTCACGAACAAATTTTTATTTTTCTACTTAAAACAGTGACGACCAAAAATATATCACCATAATAGAAGGAATATGAAAAATATCTGTAGATATTTGATGACATATGCATTTATATCATACAGTAGTCAGACATATAGACCAACAGATGATAAACTTTATTGATACTAGTACACGATCATCTGCCATAAACAGGGCTGTAAAATAGACAGATTTTTACATGGTGAAAGATTTGAAACTTCACCTTGTGACACTTAGCGAACATACAGAGAAGTGTGTGTGAATTTATATCAGCAGAAGCACATCATGCACAGTAAAGGTGCAACTGTATTTAAAAGTAAGTAAAGGTATCCCCATAACAGGCCATGAAGGCCCATAGGGTTGTGAGGTGTTGAGGCTCCCACATTTTAACTAACTAATACCATTAACGGCAACGGGGATCCAGTGCGCTGACCACGCAACACCTTCTATCCACTAAAGTTGGCATTAACTTCGCTGACAAGCTGCGGTCGCTCAGTCGGTATAGTTCACTTGCGGACTAAAACAACAGAGTTGATTGAATATTGAATACCATGAGACAGCTGTAGTCATTCAGCTACTCAAGAAATTTCCACATCTTAATGGAACATAAGGGTATTAACAAAAGCTGTATTGGCACAGCCCACTTGCTGAAACCTTGTGTAAAGTTTTCTAATCCAACCATTTTTTGATGCAGGGAGCTGTTCACTCCCCATCAAGCCTCCTCAAAATTCCACTGAAAATATGTATACAACTCTGTACAAGGAACTGGAAAGACTAAGCCCCAACATTGATTTTTAAACATATGTTGAAATGATAAATCAGTTTTAAAAACAGGCTTGTTGCTGCAGTGATCAATATTTGTGGACAATAGCCATCATTCTGTTGAGAGAAGTTTCGGAGACTGCCTCTGTCTCTGATCAGGTAAAGTACCTTGCTTGGACCTAACTGGTAGAGCTAGTTGTTGTCAATGGAAATAGCAGTGTCAAGTGTCACAACATTCTTGCACCCAAACAATTAAAAATGTAAGTCATGATAATGTGCAACAGCCTCTCTGGTCTAGTGGTCAGAGGTCCTGGGTTCGATTCCCGGCGCTACCAGATTTTCTGAGAAGTAGTGGGTCCGGAACAGAGTCCACTCAGCCTCGTGAGGATAACTGAGGAGCTCTTTCAAGCGGCTCTGGTCTAGAAAACCGAAATTGATGGCCATGGGGATTTGTTGCACTGACCATACGACCCTCTCTGTCCACTACAGTTGGTACTAACTTCACCGGACAGGCGGCAGTTGCTGGGTCAGTATATTTTTCTTGCAGACTCAAGCCACGAAGTTTTTTTTTTTAGTTAGTCATGATAATGTGTGTGATCACATATTACCCTGTGTAAAAAGCCAACACATTTTATTAACTCTACACATAAGGTGTCATAAAGAAATAAATCCATATATATAAATCAAACATCATGGATTGAACACTTAAGCCTCTTTCCTTTGTTTAGGATCCTGCATTTCATTCTTTGCATGGCTACCTGATACATTTTCAGCACTTTCCTCAACTCCTCCAGGCAAATGCTGGGATAGGCCATGAAAAGCTTCTTCTGCACCCAACCCAATGCATTGTTCATTGTTGATTCCATGTAATCTACATAACTGTGGAAGCATTGTTACATAAGCCTTAAAATAAAAAATATAAGTGTAGGTTTTATCACCTAGCATGTGTTCTAAATTTACTGTGAGCCTTCAGGATTCACTCTTGCACAAGGAAGATTTTCAGGTTGCTCCCAGTTGTTTTAAGGTATAAAGGGTGGCCCGCACTTAAGGCTGACAACCACACCGCCAGTCTTTTTTAAGCCGACTGTCTAGAACAGTGTTTCTCAGCCCCTGGGCTGCATACCAATACCAGGCCCTGGCATCAATTATACAAGGCCCTCCTATTAATGAAAAAAGAATTTACCAGGCCACAGTCTGACAATGGCTGAGAACCACTTGTCTAGATGTGGGAGCCTCAACCTCTCACAACCCTATGGACCTCCACACCCTGTTACAGGAAGAGCTTTACCTTTTTTAATTAACATTTTGTGACATCTGTATGTACGGGTGGGTTTTGTCACATTGTTTTAATCTTAGTACCATTTCTGTAGAAAAAATCTATTATACAAGACAGGACTGATCTCAGGTTTAAGCTCAGCCATTGATTAGTTCTTAGTAATTTTTACCTTCCGTACATGTTGACCAATTCAGACACATGATTCAAACTACGTCTTCACCGAAATTTGTACTCCAAAATGTAATAATTGCTAGACTGTGATTAGACTTTGGCACAATCAAAATATTTACATTGTGACTGAATCAACATTACTGGTGCATTACATGGCCTCAAAAAGTGATTTAATGTAAATGAAGACAGTATCTTCCGTTCTGCTTGAGAGAATGTGAGAAATTGTAAATGTTCTATTGGATGTAATATTTCTATGTGTCTTGAGTGCTTCATCTTTGGATCTATGTGCATCTACTATGTGATTTTTATGTGTGTTCCATGAGACCTGTGGTTCTTGAAACTATTTTTGAAACAAACTTTCTTTAGAATTAATACAAATATGTTTTGTGAACAGTGATGAATTTGCTGCAGTTTATCTTCACAGCAAAATATAAGATAAAGATGCACCTTTTTGTGAAGACAAATTTGTCAGTACTCTCATGCTCACAAAGTCCAAAACTAAAATCCACTGAGAGATGTGCAACTTATGACTTCTGATGAGTTTGCTGGTTGCATAAATTGTCTGCTGATATGCATTGGGTGTGTACAAGCTGAAAAACTCCTTTGATAAAACTAATAATTAACGTACTCTTATGTAATTATTGTATCTAGTTACGTTAGAATTGTTATAAAGCTTCTAAACAGGAGCACATGTAATAATCAACAGGAAGCTCATTCATTATTTATTGTAATGCTATGCTCAGTGTGCCATCTGTTGTCTCTTTATAAATATGAAGGAATTGAAGCTTGTACATGATAATGTGCAGGAGTGGATTCAGGCATAGGCAAAGTAGGTTATGGCCTAGGGCCTCCCAAGGGGCAGCCATGCAACTTGTGTATGATGAGAGGGTGGAGGGCCTGTAAGGAATTTAGGTGCAACAAAAACAGTGTTTTCAGCAACTTGTTTCATCTAACACACACGAATACCTCACCACATTTTTCAGTGTCCTAGGACCCCCACACTGAACACTGGTCTAAGGCCCCATAAACTCTCAACTGCCTCTGGTGATGCATCACTGAAATTCAACTGGAATCTATTTACTTGCCATCCTAGTGGCCTCCATAGTCTAGAGGTAACGTTCCCACCTCATGACTCGTGGTACGCGGGTTCAAACCCGGCGGAGGTCATGGAATTTTTAAGGGCGGAAAAATTCAGGGAACAAGTCCTCTGGGAGGGACTTTAAGCCATGGGTCCCGTGTCATAGCTTTACGGCACGTAAAAGAACCTCATATCTCCAAAGGAGGTCATTGAGCCAAATTCAAGGACATTTCCCGCCCAATAGTAGTCTCTAACGCCTCTGATAGAGGGGGGAAGCATTGTAGATACTGCTAAGCCAGCAGAGGCCAAACTCGCTGGCTCGGTTGGGACTGATGGTACGCACCAATATCGGTAGGGTATAGAGACTGGTAGAATATCATAGAGGGAAGCACAATGGACCAATACTGGTCTAAGTGCGTGGGGAAACCCACGCTCTCCAATAACTAACTAACTAACTAACTACTTGCCATCCTTTAAACCAGCAATTTTACTAAAGTGCAAGAAGTGTCCATTTTCTCCACAGCAGATAATTGTGATTGATTGGAGGTTTATGTGCTTTATATTACAAACTCTCAAGCAACATGTGGCATGCATTTGTATTATATATTTCCAGCACCTTCATGAAATTCTTTGTTCACTAAACAGTTCTCAGAATGAAATGAAAAATCTCTGGCTCTACCATGGATGACAAATCAGGTTTGAGGCTTCTGAAGTTCTATAGCCTTAAATAGCAATGATGTTATGTACAGGGTGAACTAGGACCTCTGCGAAAAATTCTGAGGAGCGATAGATCTCGCAGAGAGAATCAATTTTGTGAAGCAACCCATGTTCTCTGACACATCGTTTATGAGCTAAGCGACATTGAAGAGAAGACGGGTCTTAGGAGACATTCACAAACATGACACGAATTATTCATTTATTTCTTCAAGTATCTTTGCGGACAGTTTAGAGAAGGTGTTCAATGCGTGTTCCCTGAACCTGATTATATTCACTGCACCATCATAGCAGTGACTGTTGGACTTTTTCATACATTTGATGTTTGTGTTGGTCAAAAGCAGTATGTATTCACAGAAACAGTTCCTCCCTAGTGTCAACTGGAGTGGCATACACTACACTCTTCACACACCCCTAAGGAAAAAATCTAGTGGCATTAAATTGAGTGATCGCACTGGCCATGCAAATGAAAAAAATACATTATCAATGGATGATTGCAAGCAATTGCTAGCGTAATTGACTACCTACACAGACATAGTATGTGGGGGGAAGGAGTCATCACTTGGTTCAACATTGTAATCATAAACAGATTCGAAGTGTAGTGGCTGTGTACACGTACCTGCACAGTATTCTTGAAAAAGGTGCGCATAACTCCTAAACGACGCTTTGGAAGATACGGGTTACTTAAAAATAAAATGACCCTCCCTGCGAGATCTAACCTCAGAATTTGTCACAGAAGTCCTGGTTCGCACTGTATTCTACAGACACAGAACCTTGGTTATGGCCTGAGAACTGTTTTGTGAATGAAACTTTGTGGTTAATTAACATTCAGAATTTCAAATGATGAAATTGGAAATGTATTCTCAGTGGAATTTAGTTATATTTTGTAAACTGTGATATTGTGAAGGAACATTAGCTCCCTATATTTGGTAACAAGAAATGTTATGAATGCAATTGTTAATCAGATATAATTGTGTGCACAGATGGCATTTGTTAATAATTTATTCCTGTGTTCATTCAGAAAACATCTTTATGAGTGTTAACTTAACTAGTTTGAGAGCTCACGCAACACTGTTCACAAATTGATAGCTTCCGAAATTAAAAATAGAAGAGCATTAACAATCTGGACCAAGACATGGTGTTCTGTCAACTCTGTACAGCTGTTGGTACAATGGCTTATTTATGTTATTAATATAGCATTGTAACTGTAATGTAAATTGTCTTGAGTTAGGCCACCATGTTAAGGAAGTTAACATGTGCTTCGATTGTTGACGCACAAATGACATGGTAGGAATATTATATTTTTCAAGATTTGTACTAAAAGGGGCTTGTTAGTGGCTAATTGTGTACATTGAGCGATGTAATGACAAGAGAAGAGCTAAGGTTATGTGGTGAACAGTGAATGATTAAGCGAGGGTGGGAGGATGAACTGAATTGCCTTTCTCTTCCAAAGTCTGATCTGGAATTTCCATTGTGGTTTCCGGTAATTTAAGAGGAAGTATATGTGTAAATATCACATACCTGTAGACAACACATTCTAGCACAGAGTCAGTCAAAAAATCAAAGGGAGGTGAAAGAGGCAGCTCCCTTCTTTTAACTACTCAAGCATCAGTTTCATTTAGCACCTTCTACTGAATTTCTGTCAACAATAGGTATAAATTAATTCTCTGTGCAGATACTGTTTCGTTATTGTTAGTTTGAAGGGCATGGTATTGATCAATGGGTAAGCCAGGCCATCACTAAATTAATAGTACAGTCTTATTTATGGCACATTTGGTTCTAGTGTTATTTACTCACTTTATTGTTCATAGGGTGCCATGATGATGATGACAATAACAATGATGATATTCACTTTGTAATTCATATGAATGATACAGTGAACCACTTTCACTCTTTTCCTTCTATTTTAATACTCAGAGCGTTCAGAAATTCCATTCATCTTCTCTCATCCCAGTATAATTTGTTAATTAAGGTTCCTCTGCTGTTGCAGTCAAAATGGGGCCCCAGAAGACAATCTTTGCTCATAGAGGTTTTTTTATTTACTGCAGAAAATGCATTCAGGAGATGGGTAGATTTTCAGGGTGTATAGATGGACCCAGGCAGTTACTTCC